CAGGGGCTCCTCCCAAACCCATGGGACCCCTGAGGAACAGATCCTCTAACGACCTCAAGAGTGAAAACAGATCAGTTTATCTGGTCCAATTGTATGTCCTTAAACACCCAAAAGGGAAGTATAACCAAAGATTAAAGGGGCCAACATAATATCATAAGAACATACATATATATAACTAAAAGTTACTCGACAAACAGCAAAGCCAGACAGGCGATACCTTCAGTCGAGTTGTTGGCCAGGATATATAAAGGCTCTTCCAGACAGTAACCCAACATACTACAGGAAAAATGAACAGCAGACCCCAATTCTATCCAAAGGAATCCTGACAATGTATTGCCGTAGATGAGGAACAGCTGATCCTCCTGGAACAGGGACCTCTGGCTGACTAGATTTACCAGAAGGGCAGACAGGGGGGAATGGATGAGGGTGCTGACAACACAGTGGACAGTGACAGGGATGGCAGAGTATGGAGCCTCTAGTGGGAGAGGAAGGCTGTCTATCTGACGAGTTTGTATTCATGCTCAGATTTAGGGTTTTTCAATGCCCTTTTAGACTCCTCTTAGGCATCTTTTTCTTATTTTGATGACCTTGTTAATTTTTTAAATATATTTTTTATTGAATTTTTATGGATTTCATACATCTTAATCATATTAAGCCCCTCTTCCCTGTCTGCACCCCCTCTTCCCTGTGTGTCCCCCCACCACATTCTGCCCACAGGACTTCATGCATTTTGTCATATATGTTAAGGCCTGTGGAGACAAGTATGTGTATCCAGATGTCCCTCCGTGAGTTCATCCCCTGGAGACTATTCAGCCTGTCTAGCATCTCTCCCTTAAAGAAGATCAACTCTCCCTCTCCCAGCAGTGATCATCACCAAAGTTGTGGCCTCCTTCCCATTTCTACAGTTCTATGCTGGTTTTTGTCTTGATTGAATTTGTTAATTTTGTTAATAATTTTTTTTTTTTGTCTTTTTTTTGAGACAGGGTCTCCCTGTAGCCCCAGCTGTCCTGGAACTCACTGTGTAGACCAGGCCAGCCTTGAACTCACAGAGATCTGTTTGCCTCTGCCTCTGCCTCTGCTTCCTGAGTGCTGGGATTAAAGGTGTGCACCACCCTGCCCAGCAACAATTTTGATAATAATTTTAAGATACTATATAACCCTGGGGGAAAAAAGGACCATAGGGGCTGGAGAGATGGCTCAGCGGTTAAGAACACTGACTGTTCTTGCAGAAGACCCGGATTTGAATCCCAGTAACCACATGGCAGCTAACAACTATCTGTAACTTCAGTTCCAAGGGATCCAACAGCCTCTTCTGTCCTCGGCAGGCATTGCATTACACAGGTGCACTTACCTACATGCAGGCAATACACACATACTCATAAAATAATATATATATATATATATATTTTTTGTCTTTTTGAGACAGGGTCTACCTGTAGTCCCAGCTGACCTGAACTCACTATGTAGACCAGGCTGGCCTTCAACTCACAAAGATCCACCTGCCTCTGCGTCCCAAGTGCTGGGACCAAAGGTGTGTGCTATCACGCCCAGCCAAAAGACCATAGGCGGATACAAACGTCTGTACTAAACTTATATTCTGTTTAGACTTTACTGGTTAATTTAGCACTTAAATGAAAATATAATTCTAGAAGAAATTTCTTAAACTAGCCTAAAGGCTAAATTCTATACAAAAGGACAAATTTTGTCTCTTCATTAATAGGTCTAAATCTTAATTTTTGCTAGAGGGTTAGGAAACTTGAAGTAGGGAGTTTGTCTCCCATTAAAGAAATAAAAGGACAAGCTGAGCATGGTGGCAGATACCTTTAATACCAGCACTCAGGAGGTAAAGGCAGGCAGTTCTCTGAGATCGAGGCCAGCCTGGTCAACAAAGCAAGTTCCAGACCAGCGGGGGCTACAGGAAAACCTATCTCAAAAAAAAAAAAAAAAAAAAAAAAAAAAAAAAAAAAAAACAGATTAGACCAATCAACACCACCTGTCCTCAACCCCTCCCTCTAAGTGGATTGGATTTTCTGTTGCTTGGATGGGCTGTTTGCTAACAGCTGTTTGCTGAATATTTTTAAGTCTCTGTTCTTTTAGATCACAAGCCTAATTTATCTGGCCTCTCAGTAACATTGTGATTACTGAGTCTTGCTTGTTGCCTTCTGTTCAGTCTTTTTCATTTGGGGAAAATTCAGTAAAACCATGTATTACAATTTTAGGATTGCAATTAGCATTTATTTCTGAATTCTATATTTGTGAAATTTCTATAGTGACTAAAACATCCTCAGTTTAGAAAGTTTAACAATATCAGGGAAACACAGACCAAAAAATTTATGTGCTGGTTAGAAGTTTCTCTCGTCATTCCTTTTCCCGCATGCTCCAAACTGAAATTAATTTACAAATATAAAGCTGAGTGACTTCAGCCTGTATACAAGTATGGCAGTAACCAAATGAATGATCCTCTTAATGTGGTCACTTTGAAACTTCTGTGAAAACTACCTTTGTGTATATGATCAGGATTTTAATTTTGAGTTGCTGTTTTTATCTTTTGAAATATTCTCTTGTTCTCAAACACAGTAAATTTTCATCTTTTAGGAGTAAATTTGACTTTTCAAAAACATTCACAGGTCACTCAGCAAAGCAATGAGAATAAGATGACAAGATGAAATGGGATAATTTCATATTTTAGACACAGCTCAAATGTGAAGTAATGGGACTGGCTTTCTTACATGACAGTAAGCTGACACTTGAGGTCTTCTAAAAGCAGCATCCCAAAAAACATGTTGAAAGGTAGAACTAAGAGTGTGGTTTCCCAGGAAGAGATGACCAAATACCCTGAAGGAGGAGACTCATATGCTCATTTTAGGGTGTTGAAATGATCTCTGGTCTTGACATACACTCTTCAGTGTATCAGCATTGCCTGAAAAACCAAACATACATACATATATACATAAGTCTACACACACACATACAGAGAGAGAGAGAGAGAGAGAGACAGAGACCTCATTCCAATCCTAACTGAATCACACAGCCTTTGGAAATGTGTTCCAAGTCAGTATTTGTTTGCCTTTTTGGGACAGGGTCTCCCTGTAGCTGATCTGGAACTTGGTATGTAGATAAATAAGGCTGACCTCTATCTCAGAGAAATCCACCTGCCTCTACCTCCTGAGTGCTGGGATTAGAGATATGTGCCACCATGCTTGGATCCAAGTCAGCATTTTTTGAGACAGGATCTCATACTGTAGCCCAGGCTGACCTCAGACTCATGGAGGCCTTCTTCATCAGCCTCCCCAGTGCCAACAGTCTTGAGCCACTATGCCCAGTCCATGTCAGTGTATTTTGAACAATTACACTAGAACTTTTCTGAGTACACCAAAGGTTCAGGATTGTTACTCTTAAGTAGTCTGAAGTATAGGCTTGGCTATTGGACAATCTGGGCTTTTTAAGGAGGAGAACATACTTGCCTCTGAATCCATATTTATCATACAAGTGAACAGATCTGCTTACTTCCTTCAAGCCAGTGGCTTGAAGTTGCTTCAACCATCTTTATTTATCCTGCATACCATTTGTCACACACAATTTATGACTTTTATTATTGTCCTCCACTAACACGGACACCCCATAAAAGCAAAAAGACCATGCCTGTTTTGCTTATCACTGGAAAGTTTCTGTCCCTTAGTAACTACTCAAGAATGAATAAATGAGCCAGAAATAAACATTCAGGACTTATTAATAATGCATGATTTAAAGTAGGCCTGAGGCCTGAAGCTGAACTTGCCTTAATGATTTTGAGATGTAGCTGGTATATATATGTATGTGTGTGTGTGTGTGTGTGTGTGTTTGTGTGTGTATATGCACACACACACACAGACATATACACATACCCCAGCAAATATTTATTAAGCTGTGATTTAGAGCACTAAATATATTCAAGTGACTTAAATGCAAATCACAGGTCTTCTGTTTACTAGTACAGACTTTGAACTCATCACTTAACTGTTTCTGTTGCCTCATTTGTAAAAAAAAAAGATTGCTGTGCCCCTGTACTGGCAGTGCCTTTAATCCCAGCCATCAGAGGCAGAGGTTGGCAAATCTCTGCAAGATGGAGGCCACCCTGGTCCACATAGTGACTTCAAAGTGGGCTGGGACTAGGGAGATGCTGTCAAAAAAAAGATTGGAGGGGGCAGGAGAGGTAGCTCAGTGGTTGAGAGCACTGACTGCTCTTGCAGAGGACCTGGGTTCAATTCTCAACATGCACATGGCAGCTAACTACCTTCCACAACTCCAGATCCAAGGGATCCAAAACCCTCTTCTGGCCTGGTCAGGCATTACATGACACTGGTGCACTTACGTACATTCAGGCAAAACACTCCTACACATAAAATACGAGTAAGTAAATAGATTGCTAATTGAAAGGATCCCCAGGGTTCTTTCCATATCTGAGAATTCTGTGATTATAAGAGTCTGGTGTTAATGTTGAGTGTAGTTGAACATGCCTTTAATCCCAGCATTTGGGAGACAGGAACAGACAAATCTATGTGTTTGAGGCCAGCCTGGTCTAAATGGCAAGTTCCAGGCCAGCCAGGGGCTACATAGTGAGACTTGTTTCAAAAAAAAATTCTGATGTTGAGCATAAGAGATGGCTCAAAAAAAATCCTTTTAAAACAGTAATGTGCATTTTGGTTGTTGGGCTCAATTTTTTGTCATTTATCTATTTGAATCAGTAGATGACTTATTAAATTTCAAATGGAGTCCCAAGTCTAGACCCTCCAGGGAGAATAAACATAACATGAAGTGTTTCCAGTAGGAAACCTTTGTAAAACCAACTCCTTCCCTGGAAAAAGGGAGTATTTTTGTAGCTGTGAGTTGGGCAACTTGCCCTGTGTCGAGGGGCATCTTCTTGTATTCACTGGGGAAAGAGTGAGAAAAGAAAAATGAGAAAGTCCACAAAAGGCTGTGGACTTTTTTAAGTTTTTAAATCCTCTTCACTTTCCCCCCAGCACTTAGAACAAGAGAAACATGAACTGAGAAGACGATTCGAGAACCGAGAAGGGGAGTGGGAAGGGCGCGTGTCAGAGCTGGAGAGTGATGTGAAACAGCTGCAGGATGAGCTGGAGAGGCAGCAGGTTCATCTTCGGGAAGCAGATCGAGAGAAAACTCGGGCTGTCCAGGAACTGTCAGAACAGAACCAGAGATTATTGGATCAACTCAGCAGGGTAAGTCACAAGTTAGGAATTTAATTGTAAAATATTAAAAGTTGAAGCAGAGTTTCTGAATACTGTCCATGATACACATGTTTTTTCCCACATCAAGTAAAAAATGTTATGCATTTATAGGGTATTGTTATAGAAATATAATTAAGGTCAAGACTAAAATCATTTGCAGAGAAGGCAATTGAGAGCTGAACGGATAGAAAGCTAATTTAAATACAGAACACACCTTTTTAATATATCTGGGAATGTTATTAATGGCTTGGTCTATAAATTCACAGATTTTTGAAAATTAAGGCCTAGATTTACTATTGTACCTCAATCTTTCCTATTAAAAACAAAAATAGTAGTTTTTTTTTGGTTTCCAAAGAAATAAGTTTGTTTCTTGGTCTAGTCACCGCTGTTATGATGAGAACCCTGCATCATCTGTATAATCTGGTGGTTTGGTCTTGGAGAAAGGCTTAATCAGGGCAGCTCTGGTAAATTCCTGAATCTTCCACTGATGTGATGGTGTTTTGCTCATTTATGTCATATAGCTTTCCAGTGTGTCACAAAGCTGGTGAATATCTTTGTCCCTCATGAAGAAGTATGAACTAATTGCTGTTAGTGGGGAAAGGAGAAAGAGAAAGGAAGGGTACCTGCTAACTTGGAAAACAGCAACTTGCAGAGAAATTCTAGCATATGTTGAAAGGTGAGGTTTCCAGTGGTAGGTAGAGCTAAACATCTTGCCTGCAGGGTTTTTTTTTTTTTTTTTGGTTTTTGGGTTTTTTTTTCCCCCCGGACCCACAGCTTTCTTTTTTTTTTTTTTTTTTTTTTTTTTTCTTTTAAGAATGGAAGCTTTGGGGAGGTATATGCTAAACATTAATGGCATCTGTGGGACGGCATCTAAAAATTCTATTGAATTGGTATGGTGCTTGCTTTGCAAGCAGGAGGACCTGAGTTCTGTCTCCCAGATCCATATATAAAAGCAGCTGTCCTGGAACTCACTGTGTAGACCAGGCTGGCCTTGAACTCACAGAGATCCACCTGCCTCTGCCTCCCGAGTGCTGGGATTAAAGGTATGCGCTACCACACCCGGCTTTGCCTGCAGGTTTTACATTATAGAGATTCCATCACCATTTGATTGGCTGGGAAACAAGAGTGAAGCAGTCCAGAACTCACTTCACAGGACCAGCTGTATAACAATAGTTCTGAATCAGTTTTAAAACCTTTTTTAGTAGCTGGGGAGGGACTCTATCCTTGTAAAAAAAAAAATTTAGGTTTTTGAATTTTCATTATTCATGAACGATTAACCAGAGAAGTCTAGCCAGATTGATTTGTTTGTTCAAAAATATTTAATGTAATTCTGAACAAGTGTTTCAGATGGAAACTTATGAAATGAAAGCAGCAGATCAGAACAATCAAAGGGGAAATTAAATTTTCTTCAGTCAAGTTCATGTTGCAAAAGCAGACTCAACTCTGCTGCTGTGTGATCTGGTGAAAGGGAGGTGACCAGAATGGATGAAGTTAGAAGACAAAAGCTAACATGGTGAGATACAGCTTGGAATTAACTCTGCTCCTTACTGTGTGAACTCGTTCATGCCTCAGTTTCCTTAAGTTTAAAATGGGGATCAGAATTTGTGCCACATGTAAGTACTGTTGAAATGAAAATGGAGTAGTGTAGGCTGTGATTATAGCTCAGTGGATAGAGTGCTTGTGTAGCATGCTTGAGGTCCTGTGTTTACTCCAGCATGAAAGGGGGTGGAGCTGTTTATGTTGATCAGCACACAGAGGTGCAGATTTATGTTGGTGTTGAAGGTTGTTTTAGTAAAGCAGTGTCTTTATAGTTTTCCTGTTGTCTGATTTCATTGCAGAAAATCCCATTAAGCTGCTCCCAGAAGAATGTAGGAAGATAACATTTCCATTAGATCTAGGTTCTTATTATTCTCTCTGGCCTTGAATATGAGCCCTGGTGGTTTTGTGGCTTCCTCTCCCTCCTTTCTCTTTTTTTTAAGCAGGACAAGTCCCTGGAGTTTCCATCATTAGCAAGTTTAGATCACATGCATTTTATTATTGTTTTATTAGCTGGGTATTCAGGAACCAGAAGAGCTAAGTACTGAAGCAAATTAAGATTCTCCTAGGGGGCTGAAGAGATGGCTCAGTGGTTAAGAGCACTGATTGCTCTTTCAGAGGACCGGGGTTTGATTCACAGCACCCACGTGGCAGCTACAAACCATCCTTAACTCCAGTTCCAGGGGAATCCGAAGCCCTCTTCTAACCTCCGCGGCATTGTGCAACATGGGTACACTCACATACATGTAGGCAACACACTCATACACATAAATAAAATAAAATAAAATAAAATAAAATATTAAATACAATAAAATTAAATATTAAATACAATAAAATAAAATACAATAAATAAAATAAAATATTCTCCTAGGACAAGATAGCAACCAGCAGAGGTGGTAGAAGGCCATGTTTTTCTTGCAGTATGTGTAATGTGTTTCTATAACCATGTAACTATGGAATCTGAAAGGGAATAGAAGTTCTGTGATACTTTGTGTCTAAAGTATTTTTTTTAATTATTTAATAACCACATGATTAGAAGCATTTCATTACAGCATTAACATATTCAATAACAATTTCCAGAGCAAAGATGTATCTCTTTCACAAGTGGGTGCAAGTATAAGCCCTGTAAGACATAAAATTGGATGAGTTTTTAACCTT